GTAGCAGGTATTGGCCAAATGGACAGATAACATGCCAGGAGAGTTGGTCCGCAAAAGGAGTACAGTTTGCCGCTCTGAAATGTACATCTTTAGCGGACTAACTCCCCTGTATGTCTGTCTATTTGGGTAATTTCTACTCTTTCCAGCCGCCTCTGAAGCCTTGTTATAGGCTACTGCTTCATATAGCACCCGGATTTTCTTGAAACTCTACGGGGAGAGCCTGCGTGTGTAGCGCGCGGCTTCTGTCAGCTAACCGGGCCTAAAGCTCTTTCTCCCGGCGTTCACCCCACCTCCGTGCCGCCGGCCGGATCACACCGGCTAATTAGTCTATACAACATGATTACATGTCATAAATATACAATATCCTGTCGTTTTATATATACATTAAATACCATGCAAATATGATTTTGTCGGCAACCGTTTACAGGGCTCGAAATCATTTTTTCTTTTCTGCACACCTGTTTTTTTTTTTACATTGAAAATTACCTGTATCAGACAAGTTTTACCTGCATCAGTCAGATTTTAAGAGGTACTTTGTGGAATTTCTACTTAGGCTTTGTTCCAAAAATAAGAACTTACTTTATAAATTCCTGCCTCTCTGTCTACTTTAAATCATCGAATACTAGTAGTAATTGTGAAACCTTTCGATGCTATGCCTTCCGATATTTCTTGTATGATTTTCCCTAAGAAAAGCGACCGCAATGTCGAATGTAAGTTTTTCAAGGTCAAATGAAGAGACGACAACAATGAAAACAAATAGTTCTTTCGCCCCGGTTAGCTGACAGTTAAATTTTAAAGATGTCTTAAAAAAAGAATATTTATGAATAACAAACAATTGATCAGATAAAATACAAATTCAGTCATGTAGCAGCGACCCGCCAAAATATATCTGATCATAATTAGATGCTATAAATAAACTATATAACTCCGTTTTATATAACACCGTTAATATGAGAAGCCTTGTTAACATTTGAATGACGTTTCGGGTCACATCACAATAAAGGGTGAAGAGAAATGAAGCAAAGGTACCAATTAGTTCAGCAGTGGCAACAGCTGGGGTACGGATTATGAGAAGATAGTTTAAACTCATCGTATTGCAAACTCTTTCACACAGGACTAGCCTCCACCAGGCGTCGGGAAAAGGCTTTTAAGAGTAAAAATTGGCCAACTTCAAATATCAGAGTTATGCCTTCAAATATCAAAGTTAACCAAGAATTGAGGTGTTCAAAAACTCGTATTTCCCCAGAACTATCGTAGACTGGAACTCCTTGCCACCAAGCACAGTTGGGGCATCATTGCTAGAAAGCTTTAAACAATTCCTGCAATAGATAGAATCAGCAAAGATTGACTGTAACAAGTCGTTCGGTGTGATATAGCTAGCTGCCGCCGCGCCGCGTGCCTGCGAAGCTGTTGTGTTACGCCGAAGGGCGGTTATACCGGCTATACCGATACA